TGAGCAAATAAAAGTGACTGGGTGTGGATAACCCCTTGGTTTCCTTTCTTTTAAATTTGACTGAAAGTGGAGATAATGAAATGAAAGCATTAAGGATTTTATAAAAGAACAACAAAAGGAGATGATGGAAATATTTGATCCTATAGACCAAAAACTGGAAAATATAAGGAACAACAAGTAAAGACCAGGATAATGAGGAAACAAGGGAGCAACCAGAAGAAGCGGAGGAGACAGCAGAACCAAGAAATCAACAAGAAGATAGCTATAAGAAGATATCATTAAAATTGATAGTAAATAAGTGATTAAACAGAAGGAAAAATGTTTAAAAGATGTGAAAAGGGAATGGGAGAAACAGGAAGACAGCTGGGGGAAAGAAAAAGGAGTTAGAACGGAGGTTTAGAACTAGATGGTGGGAAAAGGTGGAGAGGGGAGAGAAAGCTAGGATGTATAGTCAATATACAGATTTAAAGGTAGATGAAATAAAAGAATTAAAAGAATTAAAAAGTGTATGGGAGGCAACACCCCCAAAAAAGAAGATTAAAAATTTGGATGACGGCAAATAAAGGAAAAAGGGAATGTAATGTAAAAATATGGCATAAAAGTATTTTCATAATGTATATGAATATTAGAATTATATAAGTTAGATAACTGTTTTGTATGTAGTGTGCTTGGAAATAGTCATCTGTCTCAGCTAAATTGTGAACAGCTTTCTTGCTATAATATCTAACTTTGGTATCGTAATATGCTGTTACATTACAGTTCTATATTAATGAATAATTGTAATTATTTGATGTACATTGTCTTTCTTTGTTCTGGTGAACATTTAAAGCAAATAAATAAATAAATTTGGCATTTGGAAAAATGATGCACGTCAAAGAAATTAGATAAAGTGTGTAGTGATATGAAGATTGGTTATGGCAATAACTTTTTTAAAAGTTCCAAGAACTTTTTTCAAGTTACCAAAAAGACGCCTCTGCACTCGGAGATCACCGGCAGATATACGAAATAATATAGTAAAGAACCAAATTGACTATTTTACAATAAACAAAAGATTTAGAAAATCAGTAAAATCAGTAAAGACATACCCAGGCATAGATGTACCATTTGATCATCATCTACTACTTACAAGGTCCAGCTGAAACTAAAAAAGATGCAAAAACCTGAATTCTTCTAAACTAAGAATTGACAATGACTTCATCATTAAACATGGAGATAAGATCAAATAACAACTAGAAATTCATTTAAGAGACACCAACAATCTAAATAATGAAGATGTAGAAGTGAATTAGAATACATTTAAAAATGCAATAGTAGAGGTAACAAACTCAAAACAAAGAGAGAGGTACCACAAGAAACAACAGTGGACAATGGATGAAATTCTTCATCTCATGGATGAAAGACGCTCTTATAAAAAAGAAAAATACAATGAATTGCAGAAAACAATTAGAAGAAAAAATTGACTGGCAATAAAAAAAAGTGGTTTGCAAAGAGATGCAAAAAATAGAAGGTATTCAGAAGGTAGACAGAAGGAAATTGTGTAATTTCAACTTACACAAAAAAGTGAAAGCAGCAGCAGGTGTCTACGAAAAGAAAACCAACTACTTAGTTGACAAGGAGTGGAAAATCATCTTGGATGAGGATGAAAAACTAAAAAGATGGAAGGAATATATTGAATAACTTTTTGAGGATACTAGGGATGATATTGATATGGGAACTATAACAAATGGACCAAACATCACAATGGAGGAAGTTGAACACGCAATAAAAATAGCAAAAACAAGAAAAGCCACAGGACCTGATGATATCCCAGTAGAAATTTTAAAATTGCCGGAAGACAATGGGAAGAAAATTTTACGGCAGCTCTTCAATCGAATATATGAAACAGGAAAGATACCAAATGATTGGTTAAGTCAACCTTTGGGACAATCCCCCCAAAAATAAATGCAAAAAGTGCACCAAATACAGAATGATAAGCTTAATGAGTCACGCCCTGAAAATATTCCTGAGAATAATTCACACAAGAATATACAACAAAATTGAGGAGTGTCTAAGTAACACACAATTTGGTTTCAGAAACTATCTTGGTACATGAGATGCCTTATTCAGTATTCAAGTTCTTGTACAGCCATGTAGAGATGTCAATCATAGTGTTTACATATGCTTCACTGATTTTGAAAACGCATTTGATAAGGCACAGCAAACTATTACAAATCCTGAAACAAGTGGGACTATATGACAAAGACATCCGAATCACAAAGAATCTATATTGGCAATAGGTAGCAAAGGTGAGACTAGGCCAAAAATACTCAGATGATTCAGAAATATGAAGAGGGTCAGACAGGGCGTGGCCCGACAAAACCACGCTCGTCAAAATAGCGACGACAAAACCGCATTGCTTAACCCATGATGTCATCACCGCGACGTCATCACCGCGGTGACAACAGCGCGGCGACGGAAGGGCGCTTTAAAACAGTGCGGCGACAGAAAGCCGATTTAAATTAAGGTAAGGGTTAGGATTAGGTTTAGGGGTTTGGTTTAGGGTTNGCTTTCTACAAGATGTAACAAAAGATGATTCTTTTTGTGTGTTTTCTTTTGTTTAACTAAAATAATAAAATCCCGCCCCCCAAAAAAGAAAACACATTCATTTATTAGGACTAATATCTTGGCATGGACTTCTGTGGAGCCGAAACTAAATCCCACTTAATGGGGGAACTTTACCCCTGTTTCCCCTCCCCTCTGGTTGAAGTCATTAATCACATTCTCCAACAGGATGTTATGGCCGGGTTTGGGACATGCACATTCACATTCTAGTACAGAAATATGAGACTTACTCTGGCCAAAAGTATACATGGCATTTCCCCCCACCCCTCTTCAAGTTGATAGTAGTTATGGAAATGCTTTAGACATTGACATCCAGTGCAGAGGCCTTTGGTTGAGTGTGCTCCCTCACACAGTGGGCCTATGAAGTGCCAGTATCGTAGGGGCGGGGAGAAGAGTAGCGCATGGGAGGGGGACGGGAAAGGGCAGGGATGATGGGCGTGGGAGTAGGGGGAACAAAGCCCCCCCAATGACTCCCTGTCAGACAAATGCTTCGATACCTATAAATACCCGGGCAACACCAGGTCATCATTGGAGTAGATAGTTATATTAAATCTAAATAAATAATAATAATATTTTGCAAGCAGTTAATAATGAGTGTGCACAGTACCATTCTTCTTGACTTTGGTAACCTGCCTGGAAAATCCAGGAACACAACCCAGTTTTAACTTTTAGCAATATGTAAGCAAAATATCATGGCCCAGTATTATCTGTAATGGTCTCTACAATATATATTTTTCATTTAGCAAAAAAAAACCTCCAACAACCACCCAGTATATATTCACTATTAATTCAATTAATATATATAATCACCCTTACTATTCCATTGGCAAAATGCTACTAAACCAAAT